AATGACCTAGACTTAGATAAAAAATAAAATGACAGAGTAACTTTCAAAATAGAACTTTGTTTTAAAATAATATTTTAGTATGTGTACAGAATAAAAACCTGGAGAGTGAAGCATTGGGCATCCGCAGGTAAATATTCCTGGGAGGAAGGACAGAAGAGGAAGAACAAGTATTGAAGAAGGGGGTTATGTGTTATATTTTTGTTACTGAAATATTTTTAATAAATTTCATATAATTTCCATTTTGCAGTAGGAATGACAAGTACAGAAATAAATTAGTTATGTTACCAAGAAGAAACATCGTACACATAAAGTGGAAAAAAGAGAATTTATAATATATAGTAAAACTTAACATCAAAATAATCTATACACAGTGTGTCCCTACCTACATCTATGAAGTAACAATCCCAAAGTAAAAGTTTTCATTTTAATTAAAGAGTGCTTGTTAGCCTCAAAATGCCACAATTGAAAAACTTTTACAAAATGATGAGTATGGTTATAATTGTGTGTTGTATACTTTATAGCTCTAAAGCAGAATTATATAAACCATAATCATAACATAATTTACTTCTTGTTGTTTGAACGGTTACATATTTATTCTGATTAACTTGAGTTCTGCCCTTTAGCTCTTCACTATAGTTTGTAAATCTTATAAAACAACTCTAGTTGCCTTTAATATAAAGACAGTTTGTCCCACAAAAAAATCACAGAACACAGGAAAGGTAGAGCAAGAAAATATTGCGAATATGTAGAAATACATCAGCAGAATTATTTAAAATCATATCTTTATAAAAGAGCAGCATTTACCACAATCTGCATATATATAGAGCCACTTGCTGGAACTTTCAAAATAACTAAACTAGGTTATATATAAAAATAGAGTCTAGTGATAATTTCACCAAGGAGTTTGGATATTCTACTTTTGATTTAGGAAAATTTCCTATGTGAAATCTGGCCAAGAATTTCTATCTGGGGCATTGTAAAATCTTAGGAACAGCCACACCAAATAAGTATAAATCCTTATTGTGTCCAAAAAGCAAGACACTGTGTTCCAATTAGTGTGCTGCTTGTAGCCAGGTCAGCTAGAGTTTTATTTAATAGGATTTCATCAGTAATCCATTCACTTAGAGCTGGGGCTCTCTCTCAAATGAATACAGGCATAAAATGAGTTATCTAAGATGGAAAAATTTATGCTGGGATTTAAAGTACGACTTTGGAAACGTGAAGGCCTGTATTATCCATTTCAGGGTGAAAGAAGTAAAACTTCAGTAATACTATGGGGAGTAAAGTTTCTCTCCATTGTGTTGCATAAAAAATTAGAGGTCAGAGAAGAATTTAAGGCCAGGATGAGGAAGTGAGTACAGGTGGAGATCATTAACTCTCAGGACAGTGAGAGAGGCCACAGGAAATGGTCCCCTTTGGGCCATCGGGGCCAAAGTGAAGTCTGAGGGAAACTCAACCAGGAAGACATCTCTAACAGGGGAAGAGATGTTGGCTGTAAACAATTCAAGCTATTTTATTCTTACAAAAATGCCTATGAGAGAGACAAGCCCAAGGGAAATTTTACTTTGAGATAGCTACAGCCACTGCTCCTTGATCACTTGCTTCTCAAAAGCCCTGGGCTTTCTCTTTACTTTCTTCTCTGCGCTCAGTGTCTCTCAGTGTGCCCTGCGACCTCCCAGAATGCCCAGTAACCTCCCAGTGTGCTCCTTGGCTGGCGCACTGCTTTCCCCAGTTTGTGTCACTGTCGCCTTTGCAGGGACTCAAGGGCACCCACTGCCAGCCACAGACGCCTTGGCTACTCACAATAGGAATGAGAGACTCCTGTCCCTGGACTGGCGGGGGTGCTTCCTGTGTGCTAACAAATATTCGGCAAGGTCGGATTTCCACCAGGTCTTGGAAAGCTTGGACAAGCTTCCTAATTTCCTCTGGACACATCCATGTGAGCTCCAGAATCTTGAAGAAACTGTGGCCCCAAGCCTTATCCACCTGGGAGGAGCCACACTTTTAAGAAATCAGCTACAGTTTTGATAATCTAGGGAGAACACCTGCTCAGGATCAAAATGTTTCCTCTTCACTCAATTGCACAAATCTCCAGCTTTGTCCTGTCTGGGCTCTTACCGTCTAATCGTTTTGTTCCCTAATAACTCAAATGCTACAGGAACAGAAGTTTTACTGTTGGGAGGAACAAGGAATGCAAAGGGAGTGTGAGGAAACTAGCCAGGCCTTTTTTCGGAGCTAGCATTCATGTGAATGCGAACTTTACCCAATTGTATCGTTAATGTTATACATGTCTGACATCAAGAATTTAGACTTTACAATACAGTTTTATATGTTTATGATGTGTTTATTAACCAGCTTGACCCTAGCAGTAATCTTGTTGGTTGGTAGATTAAGTGTGAATATCTTGCTTATTTTGTAAATGAAGAAACAATGTGTGAGAGATTAAGAGATTTACCAAGGTGTCACATCTACAAAGTGGAGGAGCTGAGGACTCAAGCCCAGGATTTCTCACCTTATAACTCAGGCTAAGAAATTCTTTTTTTAAAAAAGTCATTAATTTAAAGTCCTTCTTTTGTGTTCATACTCTATAACTTTAAATACTGTCTTCTTTTTGAGGGACGTCTGATAAAAACAATGTAATCTCAAGGTGATGTTGTCCAAAAGGTAAGTCTCCCAGTTGGGGGGTTGTCTGGGGGTTTGGACCACTTGTGGTTCATGATATCAAGATCATCATGGTAATTCTCACATCTCAGGCTCAGCCCCACCTGGTTCCTCTGGAGTCTGTCAAACTCATGGATCTCCTAGGGCAATGGTGGTGAACCTAGGGCATGTTTACCATAGTGGGCTATTGATTATCACTGAAAGTTCTAAAAGTTTTGCCATCACTGTCCTTTGGAACACAGGATGGAGAAAACACAAGACATATTATTCAGGACAAGTAGTGAATGTGTCATATACCAGCAGATTTGGTATCTATGATCAAGGTTAATGGGCTCTTCATTGCCTGGGATTTAAGCAGAGTTCTTTTGATATGGGCCTTTTAATATATAATTTTAAAATTGTATAGGCCTGGAACATTAATTAAAGACTGGATTATTTTTCCACTTTGAGATGTAGGCTGAAGATACTTTTACCAGACCTTGAGAATTTATTTTATAATAATACCCAGATGTTTTCTGAGAAAGCATGGTGATAAAGACTTTGACAATACAGAGAACAGAGCCGATGACAAACATGGGTTTTCTTGCACTGTATATTTTTATATTTTAAAGATAAACTGATCTAGTTGGAACAAAGCTTGATGTAAAAAATTAAAGTCTTCAAAACAAACCCTAAATACTTCTTTAAAGAATAAAAGCATATCATCCTTAAATACTTTTTAAAATACTAAATATAATTTAATCATATACTAAAATAATTTAAGTATCCAGTTAAATATAGATTTTTCAGGAAAATATATAATCTTGTCTAGGGATTTTGTTGAAGAATTGGTGGTAAAATATAATGAAACAATCCCAAATTTGTGATAGCAGATATAATATTTTCTGTATTCCAAAACAATTTTTAAAAATAGGTTTAGCTAATACAGTTTTATTTTTTGTTTCTGGCAAATTCATTACTTAGTAAAAATTACAAAGTCTTTAAGAAGAACTCAAAATTGACGAATTATAAGCCTTCTCATTGTAGTCACCTGAAGGAATAAATAAAAGATTTTCACTGAAGGTAAGACCTCATCTTTTCTACTGATTTTAGATTTCTTGAAACGGCTTCCAGTATAAGCTGTCTGAGAAAGAATAAAGGACATTTTGGCTACCGGGCTAGGTCGTTTTTACTACTTCTTGTGAGCTAAATGGAAGGTATTATGCTTACGTATTTTAAAATTGTTAACAACAGAAAAGGAGAAATTTTATAGTGGATTTAGGTTTATTTTTTGTGTGTGAAAATGTACTTGGTTATTTGTTCTATACAGGAAAATGAATGGCACTAATTTTAAACACTCAAGATATTCTCTATTATGAAATTTCTACTAATAAGCTTGAGAATAATATATTTCCCCCTTGGGGAGAAATATCAACAACTAGTTTCTTCCCTGAGGGCAAATGAAGTTTATGCTATAATAAATGATTTTTAAAAACAGCCTGGATCTATACTAAAATACTATCATTGGGATATATGCCCGAAGATAGCCTTCTAAGTGGAAGCAATTTTTGAGCTACTTAAGGATGTAAGCTTTCCTGGATAAAGTCTGACAGGAACTGTCCTTATTTCAAAATCTGCTTATAGAATACAGTGTTGAAGGTTAGCTTTGCAAGTACTGACATTGTCATAATCTTATAATACATTAACATTTAAATTTAATGGGAGGACTATGGAGAGACTGATTTCTGCCAGAGAAAGTAGCAACATAGAAAGGAGAATTGTAGAGAAAGAATTAACTGCCCCGCAAGCAGTAAGAATAACAAAATGAGGGGCTGGGGATTTAGCTCAGCGGCACAGTGCCTGCCTCGCAAGCGCGAGGTCGTGAATTCAATTCCTGGTACCGGGGGAAAAAAAAAAAAAAGAAAAGAAAAAAAAAAAAGAATAACAAAATGGGTATCATGAGGACTCCAGAGTCAACGGGTAGGACTCAAAAGTGAGGCTCTAGAGGATACAAGCTATGTAAGAGTTCATGTACAATGGAGGTAATGGAAATTGCCTCGGGGTGTTCTCAAATTAATACATACAATGCAACATACAGTAAGCAATTAATAAACATTGTTTATTATTATTATAGCCTTCGGAGGGGGGAGAGAGAGACAGAGAGAGAAAGAGCAAAAATCAGACTAGACGGTTAATGTTTGAGGCTTCTTTTAGAAACTGACTAAGTCCTCTGGCCTCACACCCAGTTTCCTCAACACTATCCATGATGTACCCGCCTTACTCTCTCAGTTCTCTTACGCTGACGTTCACCTGAGCTTCTTACAAACAGAACCTCCCATTGTACTTGTCAGAACTCCCAATCCAGGAAGAAGAAATTCTGCTCCACTCTTGACTTCAATGTTACCATCCGGTTTAATGCAGATCGGGCTTTCTGCTGAAGACACTGCTTCTCTGAAGCCCTCTCAAGGGAAAGAACATCTTCTACTTGGTACCATTTCCTATTTTTCTTCAGCCGTCTGTAGGCATCTCAGAAATTTTGCTGACTCTATTAGCACAGTGAAAGAGATAATAAGAATTTTTAATTGATAGTCATAAGGATTAAAATGGAATAATACACATTTAGAATGCTTAACATTGTGCCAAAAATATACTAAATTCACAGTAAGTTTTAGCTTTTATTTTTATATCTACCTTATCAGTAAAAAAATGTCTCTAGGGTACTCCAGAATGTAAGCTTTATTTTGGGTAAGGTGCGAGACCAACTGAGAACATTCCAAAATAACCACAGCTATGAAATCATACACTCAGTTTATTTCTAGCTGGTGTCTCCTACTTGTTCTCTTTGCTTTTACTATGTACCTCTTCCCTTTCTAAGCTGAAGCACAGCACGTATTCTTTTTTTAATATGAGCCCTTTTTTGTCAGTGTCTAAGCTCCCTCTCTTTGTTGTCTTTTACTCACATTTACCTGGCTGATTTTCCAATCTGGATGAATCTAACTGCTTATCCTGTCTTTGTCTGGGCCCAGGCTGCTTAGCGCTGCTAGGGAAAATTGTATTACTTAAGATTTAATCACTACGTATTTACATCTCCAGTTCTCCTGGACTCACCGTATATTTTGTCAGTCTCTACTGTGCTTTTTAGGCACCTCTATATTCTATTTTCTACAATGGTTACTTCAAACCTTTTCCAATTTCTTCAGAACACATACGTCACATTTACTTTCCTTCTTCACTCTAGGAAATAATCTTTACACTACACTTAGAAAAAGGGAAACTACTTATATTTAAAAGCCCACACACCCACTGTTTCTTCATTTCTCTGTTTCAATGAAAGAGATATTCTTTCTCCTTTCTGCTTGTCTTCTTGAGCTCTCTTTCACAGGGTCCCCTGGTAATTCCCTTTGTTCTCCTCCCATTTTAATTTTTTTATTTTAAAGAGAAAAGAAAACAAAATAACAATAAAGATAAAAATAAAACAACAAAACAAAACAATAAAAACAATACAGAATTTCAAAACAAGATGATAGGAAATTAACAATGGTTGTTGTATCACATATTGTTATCTTCAAATAAGTTGCTCAAATTACCAGATGTAAGAATATAAGATTGAGCATACAATTAACGAGATTTAAAAATTTTTTAAAAACACATTAAAAACAATACAGAGTTTCACTAATCAAGGTGGTAGGAATTCAACAATTGTTATATTGCATATTGCTGTCCTCAAATCAGTAGTTCAAATTACCAGATATAAGTATGCAAAATTGATCAAAAAAAGGTTTAAGCATTAATTCTTCCTTTCAATAAGCCAATAGACATCAGCAGTTCAATTATCCCATCTACCCTTGTGTGTGTATATATATATTTTTTTCTTCCCTTCTTTCTTTCTTCTCTCCTTTTCCTCACCCCAGTTGTTCCTTTCCTTTAAGCAATTTCTTTCCCTTTCTGAGAAGAATGTGTATTCTGATGCTGTTGGCTAGAACAGTTCGTAAAGGTCTACTAAGTTCATTTGTTCACAGGTTTGGTTTAGTTCTGTTATTTCTTTGCTGATTTTCTGTCTAATTGATCTATCTCTTTGTGACAATGGGGTGTTAAAATCCCCCATTACAATTGTAATTACTTATTTGATTTTTCATGTCTGCTAAAATTTGTCTTATATAGTATAGTGCTCCTATATTTGATGCATAGATATTTATGATTTTTATATCTTCATCTTGCATTTTGCCCCTAAAAAGTAGTGACCTTCTTTATCTCTTTTGATCATTCTGGGTTTGAAGTTCACATTGTCTGCAAATAGAAGAGCTACCCCTGCTTTTTGGGGTTCCTGCCACATGGAGTATTGCTTTTTATCATTTGACTTTCAATGTATAAATTTCCTTTTTAGTTAAATGTGTTTCTTGTATACACCCTATTGCTGAATTTCATTTCTTGATTCACTTTACCAGTCTGCTTCTTTTGATTGGTGAATTGAGACCATTTACATTAATGATTATAACTGATATATATTGGATTGTCTTTGTCATTGTTATTTTCTTGCTGGTGGTTCCCTACTTTTTCCCTCTGTTTAACTGCTTGCTGTGTTTGGTGGTTCCTTTCTATGGTTGTCCTTGAAGTTGTAGTCATTTTTATCTCTTTCTAGGGTATCTTACAGTACTCTTTGTAAGGTTGGTATGACACTCATTAGTTTTTTCAGTTGTTCTTTATTATGGAAGCATCGTATTTCTCCATTAATTTTGAAAGATAGTTTTTCAGGGTACATCAATCTGGTTCAAAGTTGTTTCCTTTCAAGTCTTGAAATACTTCACTGCAAGCTCTTCTTGACTTGATGGTTTGTATTGAGAAATCTTCTGTGATTCTGATGGGCTTTCCGTCATAGGTGATCTGTTTCTTTTCCCTAACAGCTTTTAATATTCTGTTCTTTTGCTGAATTTCTGGGATCTTAATTATTATGTGGTTGGGTATAGGTTTATTTTGTTTATGGCTAATTGGAGTTCTATATGCCTCAATTACCTGTATATCAGATTCTATATCAGATGCTTCTCCCATGCTTGGGAAATTTTCTGCTATTATTTCTGCACATAATCTTTTATGTCATTTGTGTTTACTCCTGCTATTTCTTTCTAGAGTATCAGTCTTTTTTGTTTGTTTGTTTGGTTGGTTGGTTTTGAGTTTTTTTTTCTGGTACCAGGAATTGAACTCACAACCTCACACTTGCCAGGCAGGTGCTGTGCCGCTGAGCTAAATCCCCAGCCCCCCAAATCCTATCAGTCTTATATTGTTATTCTTTGCACCATGTTGTAGCTGTTGCATTGTTTTCTCCTGATTCCTTGTTATTTTAATGAGATCTTTCCTTTCATGATCACTAGCTGCAATGCTGTCTTTAAGGTCTAAAGGTCTATCTTCAGTTTTGTTCAAGTAGTTTTACCAGCTTTCAATGCAATTTTTAATTTCCTTGATATCTGTTTGTATCTGTTTCATGCATTCTAATTTTTTCCTACATTGTTCATTCAATGTTTCCATCATTTTTCTATGCTCCTCTATTTTTTATCTATGTTTTCTTTAGCTGTGCTGAGCAATTCTTTCATTATTGCTGTCATTTCTTTTTTTTTACTTGAGATATTTTTTCTGATCTGATTTCTTCCATGGCCTGATGCAAATGCTTAATTACTTCAGTTGCTGTCATTTCTGAAATTTCAGGTGTGTGACTTCCAAGTTCTTCTATGTCAGTGTCTCCTGGACTTGTTCTTGATGGGCTGGAGGTCTGAGATTGCCTTTTGCTCCTTTGTATTGACATTTTCAAAGCTCCTGAAGTTCACTGGGGCTCAGCATCTCTTCTGGGACAGTGAGGCAGCAGGGGTGGCTCACCAAGGCTGTCAAAGTTCCCCACAGTACAGCATCACTCTCATGGTGGTGAGCTGTTGAGGGGCAGCTCACTATGTCTCCTGGAGCTGTTCAGAGCTCAGTGTTGGTCCCGTGATGATGGAGGGGTGTGGGGTGTAGCTCACCAAGGTTCCCAAAGTTCCCTGGGGCTCAGCATCAGTTCTGCAGTGGTGGAAGGGCAGTGGGCAGCTCACCAAGGCTGCTGGAGTTCACTGGAGCTCAGCATCACTCCCATGATTGTGAGGGGACAGGGCGCAGCTTACTAAGTTTCCTGAAGCTGTCCAGGACATGGTGTCTCTCCTGTGACTTTGGGGGGTGGGTGGGGAGCAGCTTACTGAGGCTCTAGAAGCTGTCCAGGACTCAGCCTTTCTCCCATAACAGTGGGTGGGGTGCAGTGTGGCTCACAGAGTTTCCTGAAGCTGTCTGGGTCTCAGTGGTTGCTCCCACAATGATGGGGGCTGTGGGGTGTGGATCACTGAGGTCCCCAAAGTTGTCTGAGGCTCAGCGTTGCTCCTGTGAGGGTGGGGAGGTGGGGCATGGCTCATGGCTCAGTGTTGCTCCTGTGACAGTCCCCCCTCTACTTTTAACCTTGCCCTTGATTTTGTCCGTGTTGACATTTAACAGTGCTCATTTTTCTTATCACTTGGCTCTACTTCTTCCTTTTTGAAATTCCTTGAAGGAGGTATGCATCTTCTATTGCTTCAATTTCCACTCACTCCTTAAAACTACTACAGTATGATGTTGGACCCTTCACTCTTCTACAACTGTGAGTTTACCAGGTTTATTGGATCCAGATACTCAAATTCAGTGCAAATTTATAAAGGCTAATGCTGCTGTCCACAGGTGGAATTTCTTCTTTTTCAGGGAAGCCTTGGTTCTGCTTTTAAGGTCTTTCATCTGATTGAATCAAGCCTATTATTTACTTAAATTCATTAATTATGAACTTTAATCACATTTGCCACAACACTTACATTAGTGTATGATTGAAAAGCTGGAGACTGTTAGCCTAGCCAAGTGGATGCATCCAAAAGACCACCACAAATCCTTCTTATGATTTTTGAATAAATTCCATATTTCTTAAAAAATTCTTGTAATGTTCTATGGCTGGTCTCTCCTTTCTCCCAGGTGAATTTTTGGCCTTAGTGCGATTGAGAACCTCTCATTTACAGGATATTTCTGTTACCTGTATAGAAGACTGTCTCACTTTTTGTATATCTAGCTGCCTCTCAGCTTAGGGAGGCTTTCCTCAACTAAGGGAGCCTTTCCTCTGTTTACACATTTGGACATGTTTTTAAAAGATCTCTTAAGATCCTGTTTTTCTTCATCACATTTTATTGCAGTGCTTTTGTTTACTGTCTTCTCTGCTATACTATATGTCTTATCATCGTCTTCCAAAGAATTCATCATAGTGCCAAACACATAGTTGGTGGCTCCTAAACATTTGTTGACTATGTAAGAGAATGAATAAATGTGGGCTTATTTTATGAGAGGTCTGGCTAGTTTTGTGAATATAAGATGTTCATACTTACAAACATAGAATTATTCAAAACCAAATATAACTGACTTTATTTTTCACTTTTGGGGTCATTCAGATTTCTCTATAGCAAT